TTAATACTAGTTATAGCACAAAATAAACATGACTAAACATCCGAAGGTAAGTTAAAAGAAAGAGTACAACTTTACAATCCGTATCCGGTCTCATGTAATCGCTCGATCAGTGTTTCAGTCGCGCAAAGACGTCAATGTATCGGCTAGTAAACAATGTCACGTCACATTTACCTCAGAAAAACATATTCGGTGACCATAAACTCATTAGTCAGATAGAAAAATAAACTGTAGAGAGGGGCATTTTGCTTCATATATGCACTATATAACAAATACATTTTACTGTTCTTCAATGTTTAATTTATGTTTGAATAAATCCATCAAGTTTTTATGACAGCCACCATTATGTTCATATTTTTTAAAAAACAAATTGAAGTAGAAATGTTATTATGTAATTGTAACTTTATTATTTTAAAACTTCATTAAGCGTAATTTTAACAAATCAGTCAATTTTAACCTTCAATATTATAGTAATGTAGTACAAAGTGACTCTCAAGTATATTTTACAGCATTAGTTGAGAGATTTTTTTTTCCTTGAGAACATTTGGCATGTACTGTACCTGATATATTTCCAAAATAATCGATATTGAATCGAATAGAATTGGTAATCGAATCGAATCGAATCGCAAGCTTGTGAATGAGAATCAAATCGAATCGTGAAATTTGTGTCCAAACCCAGCCCTAGTCAAAACCACCACCTACCTACCTTATCGAATGCTGGATAGATGGCACGTAGTTCTGTTAACCAGCCGTAGGGCATGTGACCAACCGGATATGTTGCTGTGAGTACTGCCACCGCCTAGCAAACACACACAATTCTGTTAGAACAGGCTGCTGTGTGTTACTGTTGACTCTAGAACATATTAGCACCCATCAGTACTCACTTCGGTTGATGCAGCACTGCCTTTGAGGTCCCGAGAGACAAACAGATTGACAATGGGCCTGCTGATGCGCTGAGTGGCCAAAATGAGGGCAAGTGGCCACCAGAAACTTAGCATCTTCCTTACAGTGGTGTCGCCCTGGAAGTGAACAAAAGTACTCTGAGTATAGGATGCAACTTTATGAATATTCAGTGAAAGTCTTCTTGATAATCATACCCCCTGTTCGATGCTGCTTGACTCAGGAATATTGTCGTGGACGTTACAGTAGTAGCCCAGTCCTACGATAGTGAACCGCACCAGAGCTCCCATGTACAGAGAGAGAATGGGAATGAGAAGAGGCTCTAAACATTCCAGGTTACTCTGGAGAAGAATCGCCACAAATGTTATCTGCAGGCAAACAGAAGAGTCAAGAATCAATTAAATATTGGGCAAGTTTAAGTACATGTTTAAACACATGACAAACATTCAAAAATATGTATGCATTCAATAGTTAAAAGAAAAGAGATACGCTGTTGCTGCTACATGCTATGCAAATCTGCAATGCAAAATGAGTGCTCAATATAGCCCTTTGGCAGGTAGCACATCTAAAATAAAAAGGGATTTGCATATACATGATGTGCCAAAAATTGTATAGATGTTAAACTATTTAATATTAGTTTAATTAAATCATGTTAGTTTAATAATATTTTAAATACAAAAATGTTTAAATGCATTAAAATATTTAAATGTCATGTGTTTTACAGTCGTGTTGTGCCTATATCACTATTTTCTTACAATAACTTATTTTTAAAAATTAATGTTATATTTTCATTTTTACTTATTTATACTACCATTCAAACGTTTGGTCAGTGCTTTTTTGTTTAGAAATGAATACTCTTATTCAGCAAGATTACATTAAATTGTGAATCAAAAAATCAAAAGTGACAGTAAAGACATTCATAATCTTACAAAATTATTTTATTTTAAATAAATGCTGTTATTTTAAATGACTAGGCCTAAACTTATGTGATTTCTTTTGAGCTCTTTGTGAAACTAAACAAATGATTAAATTCAGTTGATTCATTTGAATAGTCAGATATTTTCTTTGCTGCCGGAGCAGTGTTTATTTCTGCATTGTAAATGCATTTCAATTTATTATATTTTTAATAACAACTTCTCTTAATCTTCAGCAGAAAAGTGAACTGTGCCGACTCACAAACTCTGGATCAAATCCTGAGTTGACAAAGAATGTTTATATCAAGCGCTGTGAGCCTGC